ATTCAAGATAGTTGGGAGGGAATCCTAGCACAAAATCCTAATTTCCCATTATTTTACAGAATTCTCATACCTGATTCAGTAGGCAATCCGTTTTAGACATCTGTGTATTTATTTAACTACAATAAACAATTTCAACTGTAGTAATTTAGTTTGGGAATCAGACCTTGCTCATTGATAGAGAGTGGGCATTTACTATACAGCAGTAGTTCCCAATGATTGTCACCTGGGAACTTGATGGGCTAATCATCTATATTCTAATAAATTCTTCAAACCAAGTAATTCAGAGTTTCAGTAAAGATAGAGAACCTTTCCTTAGACTTCTTTTTTTGAGACAGAGTCCTGGTATATAGTTCAGACTATCCGTGAACTCACTGTGTAGCCCAGGGTGGTCTCAGACCTGACAGTGATCCTTCCATCTCAGCCTCCTGAGTGATGGCACTGTAGGTGTGCATCACCAGGTCTGGCTTCATCCTTTGCTTTTAAAACCCATAAACTTTAAGGCTAATTTGAGTATCAACTAGGACATTAAGGGTTTTTATTTTATTTTAGGTTTTGTTGAGTGCATAGCACTAGTATAACATAAAAAGTTTTTATCATAAAAGTAAAGAACTTGAATTCATTATATCCAAATCAATTTTTTAATCTTAATTTGGTAATTGGCTTTCATAGGCACAAAGTCTTTTTTAATGATTGCTATTAAGCAGGTATAAATAATATATCTTGCATTATTTATTTCCCTATCAAATGAAGATTATGCTTATATTTTTGAGCATCAAAGATAGAGTTTTGTAAATTATAGACTTTTTTGAATATTTTTGTATAGGTATAATTAGAAAATACAGTGAATGTTTAAGTTAACCTTTAATCACAATAAAATATACCTTTCTTTAATTTCCCACTAAATATTACTTCTCTGTTGTAATACACTTATTCCATTTTCCTATCATTCTTATCATTTTTTGAATCAGACCTGAGAGTCCTCTTTTGTCTTATGTGCATTGCTTTAGCTGCCTGAGTGTCCTGAATGGATTCAAAATGTTTGCCTTTCATGGTTGTTTTGACTTTAGAGAAGAGCTAGGGGGTGGCATGGTGCCAGATCCAATGAAGAAGGTAGATGAGGATACACTGTAAGGTTTGTATTTGCCAGAAATTTCCATCCCAGGAGCCATGTATGACTTGGCATATTATGATGGAAGATAAAACTGCCAATTTCTCAGGATGTTTTTTCTTTTTTATGTATTTAGTAGAGGGTCTACAGGGTTTCACTATGTAGATGGGACTCATAGTGATTCTTCTGTTTTTAGCCTCCCAAGCAGTGGGATTACACTTGCACCACCACACCTAACACACCCTGGGATGGGGCCGGCATGGCACACCCAGGATGTTTTTTTCTACATGAAGGCTATTTACACTGTTTCCTAAATATTCTAATAATCCCTTATAGTATTCAAAATTCACAAGTAGTTTTGGATACAAACTCAGCTTACACAATTCCATCATCATTTAAAAACAGAATATCACTTTGGTGTTGGATCTGGATTGACGAATTTTTTTCGTACAAGGGTAACAGTGATTTGCATCTCAGTTTCATAACCAGAGACACAAATTTCTTCCGTAATAACATTTCTTGAAAAGCTGGAATCTGAAGTTTTTCAGTTGTAAAAATTCAACGAAATGTGTTATTTCTGATCCATGATTTATGGCATATATTCAAACACACTTTATTTCAAACATAGCGCACAACTGAGTGACTGTACTAAAAAAGTTCTAATTTGTGTTGTGCTGTTACTAGTAATATGGTTGGACACTCGCCTCCTTGTATTGAAGATCCCATTGGGTGGAACTTGGCAGCAGCATTCTTCATGTCTTTTGATCACCATGCATGTATTATTAGATATTACGTTGTCAAAGATACCGTTACTTAAGGTGTGCATTTTTAAAAATACAGTAAACTTGAAAACTAAGAGAAATTGTAGGATTGCTGATACTTAAAGCTTCCTTAGATTATTTTTCAATACTGTTTTTTGGATTATGTGATCTTTCTTAGATTCAAAGCTATGCTAAAATTTGGAAGTTCTTTGGATCACTTCATGGTATTCATTCAGGAATAAAGTAACATAGAAGGGAATGATTTTTTTTTAATTCATTAAGAAAATGAAATTAATTAGCCTTTAAAATCCCAGGTCCTTTAAAAACAAAATGTCATAGGATTTTAAAGATAAGATTATGTTTCTTATGGCTTGTAGTGCAGATTTTAAGAGTAGAGCTTGTGAAGAGAATTTCACCAGGCCTTTTTTAAAAGCAGTATTTTTTAAAGTAAAAATCATGGTACTTTTGTACTTTTTGAAATGTGATTCCAAAGATCTCTATACATTTTTTTCTCCCAGGAAGATGGAAAATAAGAAATGTATTTTTTTGTTTGTTTGTTTTTTGTCCTATAAAACACAGTTTTTGCTTAGCATTCTTTTTGGGTCTGAGAGAAGGTTTGTTGAACTGTTTTATTCCAGCCTCACAGTTATTCTTCATTTGTTGAGCTGTTGGTATGTGAAGAAAGATAGCTGTAAAAATTTTTCCTTGAGCGTTTTTAAAAGGAATGTCTATAAAAACAGAAGCTTTCCCAGAGTGGTACTCTATTTCTGAAATGTAGTTTTTGGACTTTTACTATTCTAGAGGCAACTGACTTGAATACGTATTTATGTTCTTTCATCGGTAAACAAATTTGGAACTATTCCACAATAAATTGCATTGTTTTTATTCTTTGCAGATTAGTTTTGTAAGTCTTCATTATAAATTTGTTATTCATCTTATGTGTTTTAAAATTTTGATAAATTTCTGTGTGCCAATAAAGTGTGGTACAGATAGATGGACTTTTACTAAAAATATGTATTCATTTTGTCTTAGAGTTAGGGACCAGTGACACAACTATTTTCTGGATCTCCTTGCATGTCATAGGGCTTGTGACAGTTCGGCTGGTAGAAATAAGGGTGGAAGTGATGAGTGCCCTTTACAACTCTGCAAATACATGAAAATTAAAAACCTTAGTGTAGTTCAAGTAAACCCAGTTCATAATTAGAGCTAATAAATTTAGTCAGTTTTTATGAAATGCTTCTCAGTTTCGAATTTTGTAGAACTTTATATTTAGAATTTATTTCATACAATTTCATGTTTCTGTGAAATATCTGTCAAAGATCCAAGATTAAGGAAAAGATACAGTTCACATTAGGAAATTTGACAAAGTTGCAATTAAGATTGTATATTATTTTAGATACATGAACAGATTACATTAATTACTATAATTATGAATACAGTTTTTCTATAATTATCATAAATGAATAAAAGCACAGCAGGGATGGAATCTTATTTAAATTGTCATTTTTGTTTTCCAAAAGTTCTTGGTACAGGGTCTCAGTACGCAGCTTGGACTTTTAGCTATCTTCCTGTTTTCAACCTCCCCAGTACTGGAATTACAGGTGTGCACCACCACGCCTGGTCTCAGTGGCTGGCTCAGTACACCCTGGGGCAGGGCTGGTGCTTCATGTAGTGCTGGGGATCAAACCTGGGTTCCTGTGTTTACCTAATATTTTGTTTTGATTATATATGAGTAAGAGAAATTATTATATTAGAACTTTTTTCTTATCAAGGTTATACTGAACTCATAAGAGCTTAGAACGTTTCCCCCTTTTTCTTAACCCTGAGTTTTATGATTGATGTATTTTTCTGAAGCATTAGATACACTTCGTTGGTAAAACCATCTAGCCCTTAATTTTCTTTGTATAAAGGTTATATTATGTATTGTTTTCTTTTATGGTTATATTAGTATGTGAATTTTGTTTCCTTTGATATCCATTTCAGTGAGTTTCTTCATTTCATCAGACATTTCTTTTCTCCCAACTTTATTGGGATAAAATTATTATATCCTATATATGTAAAACATCCTTACCAATATTGTTTTTGCCATTTTTAGAGGTATTATTCAGGAAGGCTGACTACTTTCTCTAAGTTCATATAGATGCCACACAATCAGAGCTAAAATCTGAACCAACCTCTAACTGATTCAATATTTCTACCGTTCACCATATGTGGTTATATGTCCATTCTATCTTTCTCACTTGATTTTTCAGAAACAGCTGTTATTCAAAATGGTATTGATAAATTATATTAGACTACATTAAAATAATTATGCCACCTATATTTATTAGATAAAAAAATCCACAAATTTATGAACCAAATATACTCTGTGTAAGGAAAGAATACACAAACGTGCGCATGCACACACATAAACACACACATAGTTTATTTTAATAGAGAATATGTAGAGATAATTTTCATGGATAGAAACAAGGCAGTGGTCCAGCTTATGAAATTAAGAAAGAATTCATTAGTTTGTGGTGTAAAGGTTTTCTTTTTCATGTATTCACAGATAGTGTACTTTTGTACATTTAGTTAGTAATACAAATAATTAAAATTAGCACTAATGTTTTATGTTACATTTTTATTTCTCAAGATTTTTGGGGGAGGTTACTGGGAATCAAAGTCAGGATTTGTGTTTGCCAGTCAGGTGCTATGCCACTGAGCTATATTCGTTCGTGGCCCTATATTTTATTCCTAAAAAAAAATCTGTTTTTACATACTTTATCACTATTTGGGCAGTCATATAGGAGTGAAATTTTATATATCATGATATATTATACACAGTGATTGAAAAAATTCCTTCCAGGTTATTTCCTTTCTGGCTGCAGTTCTGCATAAAAAGGGAACTCGTGAAGATATTGAAAATAACATGCCAGAGTTTTTACTGAGATGTATGAGGAAAGAACCAACTTCTACGGCAAAAAAGGTAAAGTATCTACAAATACTCAGTTTGGGAAGATGGTATTTGTTGGTCTGCTCAAGATGTCCAAGGGAGATTTTCGTGGATGAGGTCCCAAGGCTAAGAAACACATGTATGCAAGACAATAGCAACAGCAGGCAGCAGAACAGAGAGCCAGAGCTCAAGGGCACTCCTGCATCTTTCCTGTATAATTCTTACATAGGTTATTATCTCGTGTTTACATTCTTACATACTGCAGTAACCAGCTTACACATGTTTACCTGTGTGAAATCATGGTTATATAACTATCACACTGTGTGCCAGCACCAGACAAGTGAGGTCACGTCCTCAGGTGTCCTTAGATTACCCTGAGCTTTGAAGCAGTCTAAGCGGTTCCCTATCATAGTATTGCAAAAATATATTGAAACATTTAAATCTAATATTTTAAACATAAGAGTTGAATGACATTAGAATATTTATATTATAGTCCTGAGATTTGAAGGATTACCAGTTTTGTGCACTAGTTGAATTGTCTCCATAATGGCAAAATATAATTTCAACTTGAACTTCTTGTTTTGTAGTTTCATTCTGTTGATGGACTGGATTTTTTTTTTTTTTTTCGGAACCAGGGATTGAACTCAGGACCCTGTTCTTGCCAGGCAAGCGCTTATTCTACTGAGCTATCTCCCTGGGTCAATAGACTGGATTTTTGTGATTTA